TCTAGTAATAAAATTTGCTGGTTTGTGGTGAGTTGAATTTTGCGTCTCTAAAAGAGATTTTGAAGAACTAAGCCCCAGAACTTGCGAATATGACTGTATTTGGAAATAGGGTCTTTGCAGATATTATCACATTAAGATGAGGTCATACCAGATTAGGGGGGCCCTAAATCCAACTGGTGTCCTTATAAGAAGGCCATGTGAAGACAGAGACACAGATAAACACAGGGGAGAACATCACGTGAAGACAGAGGCAGAGATTGGAGTCATATGTCAACAAGCCAAGAAACACTAAGGGCTTGCTGGCAACTACCAGAAGCTAGGAGAGAGGCAGGAAACAGATTTCTTTCTTTTTTTTTTTTTTTTTATAATTTTTTTTATTTATTCTTTCCCCCAAAGCCGCAGCAGATAGTTGTATGTCATAGCTGCACATCCTTCTAGTTGCTGTATGTGGGACACGGCCTCAGCATGGCCAGAGAAGCCGTGCGTCAGTGCGCGCCCGGGATCGAACCTGGGTCGCCAGCAGCGGAGCGCGTGCACTTAACCGCTAAGCCACGGGGCCAGCCCAAGGAAACAGATTTCTTCCTCAGAGTCTCCAGAAGGAACCAACCCTACTGAGACTTTGATTTTGGACTTCTGGCCTCCATAACTGTCAGAAAATAAATTTATTTTAAGCCATCCAGTTTATAGTACTTTATTACAGCAGCCCTAGGTAACTAATCGTGATTCTTCATCATCAGAGATTTCAGACCAAGATATCACTTCACACTTTCAGGTAAAGATGATAGATTGAACACTCACATCTATCTTTATTCCCTCCTGAAATCTCAATAAAACAATAGAAAAGGGATATTTTTTAAAGGAATAAACCCACAAAGATAGGGAATAAGACAAAAAGATGACTGCAATAAAATTCTAGAAACTGAAAAGCAGAAGGACCAGTGGGAAAGGATTTAGGAGACCTGAGAAATTGAATTATAAACCAGAAAAGGGAAAGGCCAAGAAACAACTTGAATTATACAACAAAATCCCCAAAGACTCAGGAATAGCAGTATCAGGAACCTCTAAAAGTAGAGGTGGGGTGGGAGCTAAAATAAGGAGAATCGGTTGAAAAAACAAATTTAAGTAGTTAGATCTTTAGATTCCCTCCTCCACTCAGCATTCTAGGGACTGGCCCTCCCTAACCTTGGTGGGGGTTGGAGGAGAGTTTATTCTTTGAAAAGGTAGAAGCATGGGTCTCTGGGCTGAGAATCAAAATTTTACTAAAAACAAACGGATTGAATGAACATAAACACTGACTGCTGAGATACCCAACACCCCTATTACCCCTTACTCCCAGAATGCTGGCAATCTGGCTTTTTATCCACCTGATGAAAGACCATGAACATATACAAAGAAAAATCTAGAAGAATATATATTGAACGTTAATTATTATCTCAAGGGGTGAAATTACTGGAAAGTCTCACTTTCCATAACAGACGTTTCTGTAACATTAGAATGTTTTAAGACAAGTATGTATCACCTTTCCTCCTGCCAAAAAAATTATGAAAATAATTACATAAATATCACAGACAGTAAAGAGAAGAGCAATACCCCCTATACTAGATGGGGTGAAGAAGTCCTTTAGGCTCAAAATACCTATGGAATTGGGTTTCTTGCCAAAAGCTGTTGTGGCTCAAGTTCTTTGCTGTGAGTGAAATCAACCCTGCTACCTTGGCCACAGTTTACTGGATTAGAATCAATGCACAAGCTCCTACAACCATATACAGACCAACATCACCCTGGCTACGTAGCTAACCATCTCTCTCATGAATGGTGGGAACTCTGTCCAGTCAGAGTGGAGTTCATGCAGAGTAACAGCAAACCAACCTATCATACCTCTCCTGAGGATGTTTACTGCGAGGTACACAAAGAAAATGTCTTGTAGAGCCTAAAGTACTATCCAGTACAGTATCCAACTGGGACTCAGGGTGACTCCTCTAAGGCTGATGGGACAACTTCATTCCAAAGTATCCTTCAATAAACCTATACACACACATACGAAAAACCAAAAAAGTTATCACTTCACAAGTTCAAGAAAATTAGTTGTTTTGGGGCCATTCAATACATCAGCTTTCCCTCAAGAGTAAAGGCAAAAATTATGTAAGAATAAGAGCCAAATGGAAGAGAGATGTATTTTCAAACTAACTGCAAGTTAGGATTATCAAAGTATGCACCATTTATCATTTTATTTCTTTTCCTTTTCCTTTACTTTTTGGCTCTTTTCCCCACTACCAAAGGCTGGACACATAAAAGAAAAAGGAGATAAAACTCAATGTAATATAATTTTGCTGTGAAAGAGGAGGTTAAAACCAAGTGCAAGACTGAAATTGTTTCTAAGCAATCTTAACTTGAACCAGTAAAATAAACAATCCTGTGATAAGTATTGTACTCACCTTTCCTGTATGACACATTTGTAAACCTATCACCAGATATTTATTATATAATCAGTTACGTTTTTTATTATAGAAAAACCTTAAGAGTGATAACATGATGTAAGACTGACCAATCAAAAATTTTAAATAAACTATAACATAAATCACGATAAAAGAATGATAGAAAATCAGTATTTTTTCTTCCTCCACTTACTCGTTGTTACACAATGAAGAGTATTTGCCTGGTGCTTAGAATTTAATGCTTCTATGGAAATCACTAGCTGTCCTTCTAGCAATGCTCCCTTTGATTCTCCTGCTGTTTCACACTTCCAGTGAATTATTAAATATTTCAAAATCTGAAAAGGGAACAATTCAAAGAAAACACAATCTTCTTTAAAAATCATGGTAGTAATAAATCTGTATGATATAGTTAATAATTCTAATTTCCAAAAAATAGTATTCTTGCTTGCAAAATGTCAAATTTACATTTGCTCAGAACAAAGCACTGCATCTAAAAAAAAGAAATAGCTAGGGAAGTGACATAAGAAAGGAGACAGTAAAATTCAACACAATGCCCAACAAGACAGGAAATGGAGACAATAAATTGCTTTATTCAAAGGTTAAGTTCATCTGGAAATAATAATTTGGAAAAATTAAGTGCGAGTTTTTCCTGTTTTTCTTTTTCTCACCAAATAAAAGCCAACATGAAGATTATGAATAAGAACCGCATCTGGTTATGAATCATCTTTACCTTTCATTAAATCAACATTTCTGAGAGTCAGAATACTAGTTTCGAGCACTGGCTCTGGAAGCAGATTGCGTGGCTTTGAATCCCTGATGTGTCTATTCTAGCATGTGACCTTGAGCAAGTTACATAACTTTTCTGTACCTCAGCTTCCTCATGTACAAAAATGAGGACAGGGGCCATCCCAGTGGAGAGGTGGTGAAGTTCCTGCGCTCTGCCTATGCAGCCCAGGGTTCACAGGTTCGGATCCCAGGCACGGACCTATGCACCGGTTATCAAGCCATGCTGCGGCAGGCATCCCACGTATAAAGAAGAGGAAGATGGGCACGGATGTTAGCCCAGGGCCAGTCTTCCTCAGCAAAAAGAGGAAACTGGCAACAAATGTTAGGTCAGGGCTAATCCTCCTCACCAAAAAACAACCAAAAAATAATAAATAAATAAATACATAAAAATGAAGACAAATCTACCACATATGGCTGCTGATGAATGTAAACAAAATATGTGCAAAATGCTTAACAGTGCCTGGCTTAAAGTAAATGCTTAATCAACATTAGCTATTATTTCTAATAAGTTCACTCGCAGTAAGGACTGCACGCAATATTCTAAGTTGAACAGGTCTCCAAGTTGTCTGGATAAAACATTCAGTCTTGATGACACAAATTTAAAATAAAGTATATTGTATTTAATTCCTATTATTTATGAAACTAGACCCTCACTTCCACACTAAGGTACCACAGGGAAAATTATTACCCCTTTTTTTAAAGGCAGGGAGATCACAGTAAGAGAACTTGGAACTAAGATCCTAATTCGTACCAGAGTTTTTAAGGATGGTTTCCAGGCATTTCTATAGTCTAACACTTTCCTTCACACATCCTTTCACTGCGCTCCCTCTGTTAAGATTTTCCCGAAGTTTCTTCTTCCAACGAGAGAGCAGTTGGAAAAAGAACATAGGCCTGTGAGCCAGAAGCTCTGGGTTCTATCCTAGGTTCTGTCACCGGTAAAATCTAATCCTCCAACTTCCTTCGATGACAACAGAAAAGGCAGAAAGCCTGGGAGAACTCTAGGGTCCCAACAGGTCAAGCCCGCGCGGCCCATGGTTCTATTTCCTCTGTCTAGTGTCCCTTACAAGGCCAGGAGCTCAGAACTCCGTCAGGTGAAGGCCGCGAAAGGGCTGGAATGGACGAACAAACGTGGCGAGTCACGCCAGGCGTTCAATCCCACCTTCCAGAGCAGAAAAGATCTCTGCACGGCGGTGCGGTCAGAGCTGGGGGAGGCCTCTGCATCCCGCCCTGGCACCATCCAGCTGCTCCAGGCCCTGACCCAGGATCGCACCACACCTTGGTCGACCTGAGGGCCTAGAACAACGTTCCCTCACCCCCGTTTTGCACGGACTCGTCCCGACTCCCCCCGGGTTGCTCTCTGCGCGTCCCCCCAGCGCGGGCTGGGTCCTCGTAGGCGGGCATCCTGGCTCTAAGCTGGCAGCCCGCTAACGTCCGGCCAACACTTCAGCTCGCTGAGCCTCGGTTTTCTCGGCTGTGAAGTGGGCGCGGTGCTTCTCCTCCCGTGGGGACAGCGCACCGGCGCTCGGTGCACGGCCATTCCCCCACGGGGTCAATATTCCTCACCGGTACCCCGCGGGCTCTACTGCCCACACGCTCCCGCGCTCATTTGCTCCTCACAACCCCGTGTGGGGCAGGCTGACTTGCACCGAATCCTATCTTTCCCGAACCTTCCTTCTCAACCTCAGGCAACGCCAGACCCCTCAGCCCAAACTTCGCGGTCTCCTCACAGAGGCCGTCTCCTCAGAGTGTCTTTCTCTGCTTTCGCTCCCTTCTCGGCATCACCTCGCAGACGGCCACGGCCGTCCCCTCCATTCCCCGCGGGGAGCACCAGCAACGCCGACTCTCCCGGCGCCCTACAGGGCTTCGACTACCGCCCGCGCCCACGCCCAGCCGCGCGACGCCCTCCCTTCCCGCCTGCGCGCAGGCCAGCCCCGCCCACCGGCGGCCGCGCCTGCGCATTCGCCGCCGCCCCGCCCGCGAGCTGCCGAGACCTGCCAGGAGCGGTAGGCAGGCTGCTGTCGCCGCGGCGGTCCATGGGCGGACGGGTGGGCCGGCTGCGGGGCTGGGGAGAGCCCGCGGGCGGCGACGGAGGCTGGAGGCGAGCAGGAATGAGGGCGGGCCGCGACTCTTCCTTCCTCCTGAAAGAGACTTTCCCACGGTGCCGCCGCGGTGCAGCCCTCAGCCCTGTTGGAAACGCGTGGGCCGCCCTCGGCGTTTTCCCTCAGCCTGGAGAAGCTGCTGGTGCCCGGTGCGGGACCCCCAAGCCGGGGCGTGACCCCAGGCAGCCTCACCTCCTGAGGAGGCTGCCCCAGGTGCCCCAGGCCAACCTCTGGTTTTCAGACTTAGAAAGTCAAAATATAGGACGGAGAGTTAAATTTGAATTTCAGATAAAAAAGCGAAATTTTTTTAAGCGTACGTCTGTCCCACGCAATATTTGGGACATGTACTTTAAAAATTATTTGTTGATCTGAAATTCAAAACTGGGCGTCCTGCATTTTCGCTGACAACCCCTTCCCAAGCATGTCCCCAGCCTAATTCTAAGGTGGCCACCCAGCCCCCGGCAGGACCTGAAAAGGGACCCTCTGGGGAAAAGGCCTCTCCCCACGTTTGATTCGGGACTGAATATGCCGAGCAGGAGCTGGCATATTCCTAGGCTCCTGCTCTCAGAAGCAGCCCTGGGGTTTTTCCAGGAGTGTTCCCAGCTGACAGAAAGGCAGTCCTCCAGGCTCCAGCTGCTGGACTCGGGGTTGGTTCAGGGAGGGGTGTGGTAAGGGGGCCTTGAGCCCAAACTGAGGATCCAGCAGCTGGTTCCTCAGGCAGCCAAAAGAAAACTGGTGAGAGTGATTCCTACCTGGCAAAGAGTTACCCAAGGAGAAGGGTGGGACAGGGTGTTGGCTACTTTCCTTCAGGGAAAATTCTTCCACCCCAGCTCTAAGAAGCCAGGATTGAACAGAACAGGCAGGGGAGCTGGCAGAGTGCCTGTCCAGTACACAACTTGGGTGCTACTCCAAAGCACATGTCTACTGAGACCTGAATCATAGCCCTCTGGAGTCTGTGCCCAGTGCTGTTGACCACCCTCCCAATTTCAGTTGCTCACGGGTAAACCTGTTAGAGAATGTCGTCTTTTATTTCTGGAAAATTCATTATTATACCATCTCAGACTTGATAAGACAGTTGGCATTTGGGAAATCATTGGAGCCTTCCTTACTCTTTCACTCTCTTTTGTTTCAGGTGTGCCCTTTAGGAAGAGGAGTTGCCAAGGGGAAGGGAGCTAACATTTGTTGAATGACTGCCTGTTCTGGGAGTGGGAGTTGTTGGCTACTTATATAAATTTTCACTCTCAAAAGTGTCTTGTGAGGGCCGGCTCTGTGGCTTAGCGGTTAAGTGCTTGCGCTCTGATGCTGGCGGCCCGGGTTCGGATCCCGGGCGTGCCCCGAGGCACCGCTTCTCCGTCCATGGTGAGGCCGCGTCCCACGTACAGCAACTAGAAGGATGTGAACCTACGACATACAACTATCTACTGGGGCTTTGGGGGGAAAAAAATGAATAAATAAAATCTTTAAAAAAAAAAAAAAGTGTCTTGTGAGATAACTCTTATCTTCACTACTTGATGGGTGAGAAACCAAGGTGCTGGGGATGGATGGCTCTTTAAAATATTTCTTCCCCTGGAGAGTGTTGGCCCAGTAGAAGATGCCCTACCTTGAGAATAGCATTGAGAATAAAGAGTGGAGGAACAGTTGCCAATGTAGAAGTACTTCAGATGAGTTGGTCATCCTGGCTTCCAGCCTTCCTCCTTGGAATGTGGCTCAGGGACGACCAGGCAGTAGAACATCCAACACCATCCTAGAGGCAGGGGAGGCCTAACAGAAGTAGCCAGGGACACAACTGCCCTCCCTCTGGATGTAGGCAGAAGTGAGGAAGGGAGCCTTTGATGTGAGGGCCTGCCACATCAGGACTTCCACAGCATAAACCCTAGTAGTCAGGTTTGATGCAGTCTTCACATGTGTTGGGTATCTACTCTGTGCTAAGTGGTCTTCACTTTTTCTTATTTATCATAACTAATCCTCCTAACCTTGTATGGAAGGTGTTGTTATCTTAGTTTTATAAGTGAAGATGAGGTTCCAAGAAGAGGTTGTATGATGCTGAGTTTGTAAATGGAAGAGCCAGAATCTGAAACAAAAATCTCTTAACCCCTCTTTACACTCTCCCACAGCTACCCAGTTCATCTCCCACCTGGCTGTGACCTACCTAACTGCTTGTCTCAGGGGTCTGTAGTATGGGGACATAACATTACCATGAGAAAGCCAATCCCTCCTTGCAAAAGCTAAGAGCCGATGAACTCAGATACCCTCATCTCCCACAAATGAAGACTTGCATGAGCCACCGCTCTCAGCCCTTCTCTCACCCATCAATGTTTGCCCCCAACCTGTTTGGGGTCTAGGAACTAATATACTATTGGACTGACTCCACATTATTAAAACTGTTTTTACTCAGATCTCATCTTCAGAGCAACAGAATGTTAGAGCCAGAAAGGACTATAGAAGTTATCAATTATCTTCAATAGAGGAAGAAATTTGAGGCCCAAATAAATTAAATGACCTGTCCAAGGTTCAGGTCACAATAGTCAACCAGGTCAACCAAGGAGCCTATGGATGCTGCTCTGGATATTTTCAGCCCTGGTGTTCAGGGTCTTGGCAGTCTCTTCAGAGGGCCAGTTCTCCCCAGTCCATAGACTTAGTGGCACATTGATTCTGCTTGCATTCCTCCACCCACTTCAGGATTTGGATTAGTGTTTCATGTCCACTTTGGACATCCTGTTTATTCCGAGAAGAAATTCCCTGCCTGGTCAGAAGAGACCCCACCCGGAGAACCCCAGATTGATTCTAACCCAAACCCAAGGGTTTCAGTAGAACCAGCACATCCTAGGGAACACTGCTGAGTGGAGTGTCATTTTAGGAACTATTAAGCTGTCTTTCTTTTTGAATGTGCCCTGTCTGTGTATGTCATTCCTAGATACTTCTTAGGTGCTACCTTGTTCTCAGGCTCCCCTAGAGCATTCAAAGGCCCTAGAGAGATGGACCCTAGGAACTCAGGTGGGAAATATCCCTGAGGTCCCCCTTATGAGGCTGAGGCAAAACCAAGTCCATTTGAGGAGTTTCTTTCCCCCTGGGAATCTCTTAAAAAGAGGCTGTTTCCTGTACAGACAATAGGAAAGGGTTAACTACTTCTCTTGGGTCCTGAGCCAAGTCTGTCCCCCACCAGTTCCCATAACCGGGTTTCCTGAAATGGAGCAGGTCCCAGGTGCCTCTCCACTAATCACATCCTTGGAAATGGGGCCAGGAAACTCAGATTAGCTCATGCCTTCACCTTCTTGAGGCCTTCTCCACCTGGAGCACAGAATCTGGGGCAGCTTCACTACTCACCTCCCTATGCCTTCCTATCAGGGGTCAGACAGGGATGTTCTTGCAGAGGAATGTCAGGTTGGGGGGGCACTAAAGGCCATAGCAATGCTGACTTTTGTGCCACTTCTACGACTACAGCATTTGTTCCTCCTCGTTCTAAGACTTATGGACAAAGGAAAGATTGTCCGCTCAAGACAATATCAACTTTTGTATAACTAGAGTATTTTCTTCTTCAACCCCATTTCCTATATTTTCTTCCTCTCCTTCTTAGAATGACTGACTATGATATTGGGTAGCTTCCTGTTTTTCCTGGCTGACAATCACCCTTTGCACAGTCTCTGATTTCTCATCTAACAGCAGGTTCTGGGGCCAGCACAGGAGGTTTCATTCCTTCTCTGTTGGTGTCCAATTTCTCATCTTCATAGATAACCAATAAAATCTATATCACAAAGTGGTTCTGCTCTCTGTAATTGGCTTTTTACCTCCTCTCTAGGCAGAGTTGCATTTGTCCTGCCCGCTGATGTCCACCAAAAGAGAAGTATTCTCTGTGGCATAGAAGCCTTGGGAATGGAAACAGCAGTGTAATCTGGTCACATATGGCCAAGTAAACCTATTGATCCAAAGGCCAGAGGATCAACTCTATTTGAAAGACAAGTAGGCTGAGACAGAAATTCTTCTTCTAGGAAGCCCATTTACAAGGATGCTGGCTCCACGTGTTCAGTCTTGGTTCAGTCTTTGTATGATCACAGTACTCTGAAGTACTTTACCAGGAGTGCTGGTGTACAAAGTCTTTAAAACTAGTAATATGGAACCTTAGTTGAGCTGATTTTTCACTGATCTCTGAAGTTGACTTGATTTTCATCTGTTTAGCTTTTAGGCCACTTCTATCTTCTGTTTCCCCAACTTTCATTCTCACCAGTTGAAAAGAGGCTGTGGGATCAAAAGTCTAAAAAGGTCAGGATGTCTGAATTCTTTTCCCATTTTACCACTTACTTTAGGTGTTATGTTCTAGTTTTCTGCAACTAAAATAGGAAAATTCTCCCGGGAATATAGTTAAAATAACATCTGTGAAACAATTTGATAGTTTTATAGTCTCTAAGTTAGAAGAAATCTTTGAAGTCATTTAATCTAGTATTTCCCAATCAGAGAAGCAATATTTTTTCCAATTCATTTCCTTTCTCCCCACCCCCTCCTCCTGAATAGCCTCTCTCTACCTCCTTTCTCAGCCTGTTCCTGGTATACAAGATAGAGAACTGATCTAGTTTGCATAGTGTATTTCACATATTTAGGGTTGGGAAACACTGCCCTAATTTACCTCCCTATTTCATGCAATAGTCGTTGTAACAGTCCTGACCAGTTGATATCTAGCTTTTACTTGAATATCTCATGTTAGGAAATTTGCCACCTCAGAGGCAACCCATTCCAGTTTTGGACAGCAGTGGTTTGGTAGTTTTTCATTATATTAAACTGAAATCTGCCCCACTGTGTCTTCCACCCACTGGTTCCAGCTCTGCCCTTTGAAACCACACAGAATTCATCTAATCCCTTTGTAAAGGG